TGTTACAGAAATGTCACATACAATTTATTAATTTGGTCTATGTATATTTGTATTGTGTTCCGTAAACACTTATTGAAAATTTTGTGGCACCTCTCTCTCTCTCTCTTTATATATATGTATATTTATCAATTATTTTTATCTATTTAATCATATATTTATCATTATATAATCATATTTATTCATATTTATATTTATTCTGTATTTAACCTTATATAATCTTATATGGACGTTATAATAAATCAGTTTCAATCTTTCTCTCTCTCAGAGTGACCCTCTGGTGTGTGTCCAGGCTGTGGAGGCAGCTCCAGGAATCTGAGAATGGCTCGGTGTACTCGTGGCACCGTTCCCAGTCCTTCAAGCTGGTGTTGTCCGCGCTGAACATGGCACTGGTGGTCCAACCGGTGAGTTGTCCCTCCATAGAATTCCATTAGGCTTCCAGGGATAAGTTTCTCTTTCTTTTTGAAAGTTTTAATTCAGATCTCTAGCTTTAAAACATGAAAACCCTTCTACAGGAGAAAATACAATCACTTTTTTTTCCTTATCCCTAGTACACGTGGTACAGGCCATGATAATCATGATGGGTAGTTAGCGACTGCTTTTACTGTAAGCGCACCACATGTCTACACATGTGAAAAGCAGTTCGACTTTGCACTTACAAATGTGCCAGAGCCCCGTTTGGTTACTTGCACTCGCTGGTGGGGTTGGACTTTTGCAAGAATCGGGGGCCATTGGAGCATTTTTTTTTTTTTTTTTTAAACAGAAAAAAGTGTCCAATGCGGGAATCGAACCCGGGTCATAGTGGTCGAAAAGCAAAAAGTTTAACCATCCTTCCACCGACCCCCCTTCGCTTCGATCGCTTTAATATATTGATACACAGGATTTTTTTCTGGTAAGAGGACTCCCTAAAGGACACTTTGGCTCTGCAATTAGATGCCCTTTACAGGGAGGTAGTTCTACTGTATAATCTAAAAATGATGTAAATAACAAATAAACCACACTACAATGTTGTAATAACTAATCCTCTAAATTGATGCACTAGCGCACCATCTGTTATCAAAATTCGAAACTATTTTAAAGGCGTAAGATTCTTTTTGATACAGTTGAACTTGGATAATTCGAACCCCAAGGGACTATAAAAAAATTCGAATTATCCAAAAATTCGAATTAAAAACGGAAATTATATATATGGGAAATTCTAGGGACCAAGATAAATATTCGAATTAAAGAGGTTTTCGAATTATCCAAGTTCTACTGTATTAAAAAATTTCTACTGTCCTTACTGCAATGGAAAAAATTAATGAGAGGGCCTGGCTCATCAGTGGTGAACCCTCTCAGCGGTTTTGCCAGTTTAATCTACCATACCGCTGTTATATTGCATTTTTGGAACTTCCTTTTATAGTGATACTGTTGGTAGACTCTTTGGATGGGTATTTTAGAAGAACTATGGACATCCTCTAAATTGTATATTGGATGTTTGATGGAAGTTTCCTTTGGTCCAGCAGCAATCATCAGTCCCGCTGTTTGCTGTCAACCTGGGATTACTGGAGCCCACTCCGGCCAGCTCCCAGTCCTGTGACACCCCGGAGGTAGACCTTCCCTCCCATTTCTCTCTCTCATGTATCTAGCATGGATGATGTCAAAATTGTAAAAACCTGTTGTTAACTTTGTTAGTGATAAATTTCTAGTTTGGCAGTTTGTTGTCAAGAAAAAAACAGTAAATATATAGTTTTTTTTTTTTTTTTTTTCAACTTTGTCCCTTAATCCCCTATTCCTTGAAATTGTGCCTGTTAAGATAGTTAGGTATTTTCCTCAGTTCTATAATCAGTAAAATCTTGCTAAAACACAAATTATAATAATCCTTATAATGTGCCTAAAGTGTGTATAATCCTGCATCCCCCCCCCCTCATTATCTTCTTGAAGAATATCATTATTATAATAAAGTTTTGAGTAAAAAAAAAAAGCTTCATAGCAAAAATTTGAGAAAGTTTCAGTTCGCAGATTGTGATTCTGAACAAATATGGTGTTTCTGTTTGTTTATACAGTAGAACCTCGCATGAGAGGACACTCATGCTAGAGAACACCTCTCTATAAAGGACAATTTTCATCTTCAAAATTACCATTTTTACTATTTAGCAACTCTCCCATAAGAAGACACTTTGGCTCTGCATTTAGGTGTCCTTTACAGAGAGGTTTTTCTGTTATCCACTTTCTATTTTGGTCACATGCTAATTTGAAATTTTTCATTCTACTTATTAATAGAATATCTTTAAATAAATAAAAGATGCAAATATATATTTAAAAAAAAAAAGTGAAACGATGCACAGGCAGAACTTGAGAACAATTTAAAAATAATAAAAATAAACGTTTCTACTTTATTATGAAGCCCTATGTACCACTTGTCTGATATTCTTCCTGTAGATCTATCAACAAAAATATTGGGAGAAGGTTAGATGTTGTGTGTTATGGCAGTGTTCTCCCAGCAACAAGAACTAGGGGAGAGCTAATGTGACGTGTGTTATGGCAGTGTTCTCCCAGCAACAAGAACTAGGGGAGAGCTAATGTGACGTGTGTTATGGCAGTGTTCTCCCAGCAACAAGAACTAGGGGAGAGCTAATGCAACATGTGTTATGGCAGTGTTCTCCCAGCAACAAGAACTAGGGGAGAGCTAATGCAACATGTGTTATGGCAGTGTTCTCCCAGCAACAAGAACTAGGGGAGAGCTAATGTGATCTGTGTTATGGCAGTGTTCTCCCAGCAACAAGAACTAGGGGAGAGCTAATGCAACATGTGTTATGGCAGTGTTCTCCCAGCAACAAGAACTAGGGGAGAGCTAATGTGATCTGTGTTATGGCAGTGTTCTCCCAGCAACAAGAACTAGGGGAGAGCTAATGTGATCTGTGTTATGGCAGTGTTCTCCCAGCAACAAGAACTAGGGGAGAGCTAATGCGACATGTGTTATGGCAGTGTGAGCAAGTTCTTCCAGAGCCACAGCTGCCAACTCCGCAGCCGTCCGAGGAGGACTGGAACCCCCAGCCTCTCAACTTAGATTTTCTGGACACCACAGGTATGTATGTACATCTGGCTCCACTGTACCACGATGTCATGGCAAAGTGGGTGTGGTCTGATAATTTGGGCATTGGTCTGAAATGAATTAGGTAATCTGACAAATTGGGTGTGGTCTGACAAAGTGGGTGTAACTGACACAAAGTAGGTGTGGCTCTGACATAAAGTGGGTATGGTCTGATAATTGAAATGAAGGCGATAAAAACGTGGTGATTTTCTTTTAATGGTAAAACACAAGCTTCAGCTGAACTATTTACCTACTGTATTGGGCTATTTTTCATGTCCATAGTTTTAAAATATTGTCCAGTTGTAACCTGAGGAAGGGCATTCTTGCCTGAAAGCTTGTGTTTTACCATTAAAAGAAAATCACCACATTTTTATCGCCTTCATTTCAAATATTATTGCGTGGCTACGTCATGTCATGTATGGTCTGATAAATTGGGTGTGGCCTAACACAAAGTGGGCGTGACAGAAGAGGTACAAGAGGAGGAGCCTAAAGTAACTCCGCCCACCAATATGTGGTCAGACCTTCTAGCCAAGGTCCCGCCCCCTCAGTCTCCCCATCAGCTGCTCTCTACAGAGGCTCAGCAAATCCTGAACAGCCTGCGCGACCTGTCCTTCATGTCCTCTCCCGTGCTCATGTTCCCCCTCTCCTAGATTGTTGAGTTTACCCTAGAACATTTGTTATCCGACTCCAGGTTTGATTTTTATGGAAATTTTGTTTGCAAAAGTTTTTTTTTTTCCTTGTTTTTAGTTTTTTTTTAGTGTGATTATTATTATTTTTTTAAATGTGGATTTTAAAAAGTTGAAAATGCAAATAATTGTAATATAAATGTTATAACTTTTCCTTCGCAATTCTATATATATATATATATATATATGAGCCTATAATATTTATTTTTTGTTAACTGGATTTTTGTATGATATTATTAAGGAAAAAAAGAAGAGGATAAGAGCGCAATGTAAAATAAATTATTTATTTCATCAGAGTCTTGTGGGTCTTTTTTTATTATTATTACAGTAGAACTACTTCTCTGACACCCCCTAGTTGTAGAGCCAAAATGTCCTTTAGAGAAAGGTGTCCTCTTACTGAAGAGTTGTTCTTTTTTTTTATGTTAAAACTATAAAAAATCTTTATGAGAATATCATATTTATTATTAAAACATATTATATATTTATATAAAAGGGCGTACCTGGATCTGTAAAGAAAAAAAAAAAATTTTTTTCTCAAAATATTTCGAGAGATTGCTCCCTCTTACAGATCCAGGTACGCCCTTTTATATAATCTTAATTAATGGATCGCCTTTTAACTCAAAATATTATATCTTTGTTTAACTATTAGTACACTAGTTATAGTAAACTCTCTAGTGCTATATACCATTAAACATTGAGAACAATTTTATTTTTTAAAATAATATAATCTTTGTGACTTTCTGAATGGGGCATATATTTTGTAGTTTCCAAGCTATGTTTGACTTCTTTAAATGAATTTGTCTTCAAGGTTACATCTTCACTTTCTTCTTGCATTCCATCATTTAACTCTTTAGTCAATAGGTTAATAAGAAGATCCACAAATTATATGATTTATCTCTAGTGAATTATCTCTTTCAAATTTTTTTGTATCCTCAAAAGAAACAAATTATTTTATACGTATATTTCAAAAATCATTTCCACATTAAGTCACTTAATTGGACATTTTCCATTGCCATATTTTTGTGGAATACTTAAAACTCATTTCTTTTAAAATGTTGTAAAATTTGTGTGCATGTTTCATTCGCATTACATTGATTATTAAAAGATCAAGGTATTATAGATTTAAATGGGAGGGTAATTAGAGATGGCTGTTAACTGAGGTTCTACTGTCTTATTGATTCTTTCATAAATCCTCATAATTCTCTAAAAATGGAACTCTTGACATTTATATCTGTAATATAAATGTGGGGTCGGTTGAAGGCTGGTTAAACTGATTGGTTTTCGACCACTACGACCCGGGTTCGATTCCCGCATTGGACACTTTTTTCTGATTAAAAAAAAAAATGCTCCAATGGCCCCCGATTCTTGCAAAAGTCCAACCCCACCAGCGAGTGCAAGTAACCAAACGGGGCTCTGGCACATTTGTAAGTGCAAAGTCGAACTGCTTCTCAAATGTGTAGTCATGTGGTGCACTTACAGTAAAAGCAGTCGCTAACTACCCACCATGATTACCATGGCCTGTACCACGTGTACTAGGAATAATAATAAAAAAAATCATAGGCTGAATCTCAGAGATTATTGTTTAATTAACAAAACATTAAATTAAGATGACAGAAAACAAAAGCAAGCGTAGGGGCAGACAACCAAAGTTAAACTAAAACACTACAGGCACAGCCAGTGATGTCTGGTAGGAAGGTGGCGTTGCTAGGCAACGGCTGATATGCGAAGTTACTCTCCAACAATATCACATAACAAACAAAACCATACTAATTGAAAAGACAATAATTATCCAGTAATAGCCATCTATATATACACACACACACAAAGCTTTATTAAGACCAGTGGTCTTATACAGATTCACCACAGGAAGAAATAATAGATGGAGCTCCTATACTCCAGGCAGCTCAGCACCCAACAACAGCCTCCAGGTCCGACGCATGTCCAATGGCCACACGTTCCTTTGTGCATATGTCATGGTTAGCGAATCACTGAACAGGTGAGTGTGGAATCAGCCATCTATATATGTTTAAACCACAACTGGAGTGGTGTGATTGGTCATCGGAGATAACCTTCTGTACCTTACTTAAACTGGCTTTGTGTGTCCTACCAACTTTGTAAGGAAAAGACCAACAGTCCAATACATCAGCCAGATCTCCCATCACCCACAGTTGTTATTTACAGGAGAAAGTTGACAGAGAAAGTTGGAGGAACATCATTCCTCTACCAACCAGATCTCTAGAGATTTGTAGAATTGTATAAAATGTTTTCCTATATCTCATCACCCACAATTGTTATCTACAGGATTGCTCAAAACAGAGAAAGTTGGAGGAACATAATTCCTCTACCAACCAGATCTCTAGAGATTTGTAGAATTGTATAAAATGTTTTCCTATATCTCATCACCCACAGTTGTTATATACAGGATTGCTCACAACAGAGAAAGTTGGAGGAACATAATTCCCCTACCAACCAGATTTCTAGAGATTTGTAGAATTGTATAAAATGTTTTCCTATATCTCATCACCCACAATTGTTATCTACAGGATTGCTCAAAACAGAGAAAGTTGGAGGAACATAATTCCTCTACCAACCAGATCTCTAGAGATTTGTAGAATTGTATAAAATGTTTTCCTATATCTCATCACCCACAGTAGTTATCTACAGGATTGCTCACAACAGAGAAAGTTGGAGGAACATTATTCCCCTACCAACCAGATCTCTAGAGATTTGTAGAATTGTATAAAATGTTTTCCTATATCTCATCACCCACAGTAGTTATCTACAGGATTGCTCACAACAGAGAAAGTTGGAGGAACATAATTCCTCTACCAACCAGATCTCTAGAGATTTGTTGAATTGTATAAAATGTTTTCCTATATCTCATCACCCACAATTGTTATCTACAGGATTGCTCACAACAGAGAAAGTTGGAGGAACATAATTCCTCTACCAACCAGATCTCTAGAGATTTGTAGAATTGTATAAAATGTTTTCCTATATCTCATCACCCACAATTGTTATCTACAGGATTGCTCACAACAGAGAAAGTTGGAGGAACATAATTCCTCTACCAACCAGATCTCTAGAGATTTGTAGAATTGTATAAAATGTTTTCCTATATCTCATCACCCACAATTGTTATCTACAGGATTGCTCACAACAGAGAAAGTTGGAGGAACATAATTCCCCTACCAACCAGATTTCTAGAGATTTGTAGAATTGTATAAAATGTTTTCCTATATCTCATCACCCACAATTGTTATCTACAGGATTGCTCAAAACAGAGAAAGTTGGAGGAACATAATTCCTCTACCAACCAGATCTCTAGAGATTTGTAGAATTGTATAAAATGTTTTCCTATATCTCATCACCCACAGTAGTTATCTACAGGATTGCTCACAACAGAGAAAGTTGGAGGAACATTATTCCCCTACCAACCAGATCTCTAGAGATTTGTAGAATTGTATAAAATGTTTTCCTATATCTCATCACCCACAATTGTTATCTACAGGATTGCTCACAACAGAGAAAGTTGGAGGAACATAATTCCTCTACCAACCAGATCTCTAGAGATTTGTAGAATTGTATAAAATGTTTTCCTATATCTCATCACCCACAATTGTTATCTACAGGATTGCTCACAACAGAGAAAGTTGGAGGAACATAATTCCTCTACCAACCAGATCTCTAGAGATTTGTAGAATTGTATAAAATGTTTTCCTATATCTCATCACCCACAATTGTTATCTACAGGATTGCTCACAACAGAGAAAGTTGGAGGAACATAATTCCCCTACCAACCAGATTTCTAGAGATTTGTAGAATTGTATAAAATGTTTTCCTATATCTCATCACCCACAATTGTTATCTACAGGATTGCTCAAAACAGAGAAAGTTGGAGGAACATAATTCCTCTACCAACCAGATCTCTAGAGATTTGTAGAATTGTATAAAATGTTTTCCTATATCTCATCACCCACAGTAGTTATCTACAGGATTGCTCACAACAGAGAAAGTTGGAGGAACATTATTCCCCTACCAACCAGATCTCTAGAGATTTGTAGAATTGTATAAAATGTTTTCCTATATCTCATCACCCACAGTAGTTATCTACAGGATTGCTCACAACAGAGAAAGTTGGAGGAACATTATTCCCCTACCAACCAGATCTCTAGAGATTTGTAGAATTGTATAAAATGTTTTCCTATATCTCATCACCCACAGTAGTTATCTACAGGATTGCTCACAACAGAGAAAGTTGGAGGAACATTATTCCCCTACCAACCAGATCTCTAGAGATTTGTAGAATTGTATAAAATGTTTTCCTATATCTCATCACCCACAGTAGTTATCTACAGGATTGCTCACAACAGAGAAAGTTGGAGGAACATAATTCCCCTACCAACCAGATCTCTAGAGATTTGTAGAATTGTATAAAATGTTTTCCTATTTCACACAAATTTGTAAAATAAATGATTATTTGATCCCAGGTCCCCATTTATACCACTCTTCCATTAAACCTTTTCCTACAAATATTTGCTACTCTATAGGTAAAACCACGTTTGAATAAGCAAAGCAAATATTGACTGAAATAAAAACATTGAAGTACAAATGTTTTCTATACGTAAAACATACTTTTACTGTCGATAAGGCACAATTTGGATTATAAACACAAGGTAATGTTTACAAGTTTTCTGAGATAACTATCTTCTTATCTGCTATCTTGTTTACACACTTGATAACAGTAACTGGGTGGTCGGTGGAAGGCTGGTTAAACCGTTTGGTTTTCGACCACTACGACCCGGGTTCGATTCCCGCATTGGACACTTTTTTCTGATTTAAAAAAAAAAAATGCTCCAATGGCCCTCGATTCTTGCAAAAGTCCAACCCCACCAGCGAGTGCAAGTAACCAAACGGGCTCTGGCGCATTTGTAAGTGCAAAGTCGAGCTGCTTTTCACATGTGTAGACATGTGGTGCGCTTAGAGTAAAAGCAGTCGCTAACTACCCACCATGATTATCATGGCCTATACCACGTGTACTAGGGATAATCAAAAAATAAAATAATAGTAACTATTTAAAACATGCTGTGGTAAAATTTCTCATTCAGTACTTTTGTCTGAAGATGGTAACAACGCTGTTACCGAAACATCATACACTATTAATTTGGATTTGGTCTTATTACCTTACTTTTACTGTCCTTACTGCGATGAAAAAAAATATTGGGAGGGGGGTTTGTCTCATCAGTGGGTGAGCCAAGCCACCCCCCCCCTCCAATATTTTTTCATCGCAGTAAGGACAGTAGAATTTTTTTTTTTTTATGAATAAAAAAACATCCATGCTTCAATGTTTTCATTCCTATATTTAGATGGCACTTTATTGCTTTATATTAAAATTTTAATAGACTATTGTGTTGTGGAAAAAAAAAATTTTAATTATTCAAAGTGTTGTTGTTTCTTATCCCCTTGTGTAAAGATTACACAAATTTCATGAGTTCATGCTACTCGAGCTGTTTTATGATAAGCAGCGGCCTCTCCCAAAGGTCCTGTTTAGTGCATTTAATTAATCAATTATTATATATGAATAATTCAATTATTCAAAGTAAAAAAGGGAACATTAATGATTTGTAAACACAAGGTAATGAGACCAAATAAATAAATAGTGTGACTCACTATTTATTTATTTGGATTTGGTCTTATTACCTTGTGTTTATAATCCAAATTGTGCTTTATCATTAACGATTTGTAGTAACTTTCAGTGTATAGAGGGTGTCAAATTTAGGAAGATGTAATTTGACAAACAGCTCGTCTATAATAGTTTCAAATTTTTATATAAATCTGTGCTAAACATGATCAAGAAAGAGAGAGTTCTTCTGAAAATATCAATAGAAAACATGAGGCAAATTTTGAAACTATTACATGATAAAGTACAATTTGGATTATAGATTATAATAAAAAGAAAATAAGACCTAATCCAAATAATTTGTTAGTGTGTGACGTTTCGGTAACAACATGCTGTAATATTTTTTTCTCATTTATTTAAACACTTGATAAAAGTACTATATAAGAACTTGCTGTGATATTTTTCTCATTTATTCTTTTGTTTGTGACAATGCTGTTGCCATCACACACTAATAAATTATTTGGATTAGGTCTTATTTCCTTTATTATTATTTATTACTTTTCTTCTTCTTCTTCTTTCTTATCTCCACTCAATCATATTAGGGTATCAAGTTGTGACCCTTGATGGTGTCTGTTTGACAACCATCATGACTGGGTGAAGTAGAATACGTCTGCCTTTGTCATTAAGACTGGGAGCACTA